ACAGTATTTGCTAATCATTTATGTACCTCAGTTAATTTTGCGCACCCAGAAAATTTTTGCTGTAGTTGCAATACCACTTTTTTGAGTGATGAAGATCGGCGAATTATTAAAAATTAAAATATTGAATGAATTAATGATAGTTTTTATCAACACACATTACAAGTAATTTTAAGTATATACTTTTCATATGATATACGATACTCGCGACTAGTTTTTTGGATTTTTTTTCCGGAATGGAACTGGTTTACGTCGTGTCGCGACAAGTGCGACGAGTTTACATCTCATGGTTTATATGCAACGCGCCAACCGAGGCTGAGGTTTAACCTGACGCATTATTACGGCCCACAACGCACCTTGACCTCGGATTGCCGGTTGTGCTCCCAAAAGCCATGCGCGGTGTTCGATTTCACGCAGAGAGAGAGAGAGAGAGATATCGGGTTTTCATGAATTACGCAACCCAGACTCTTTCACAGAGCGGAGCAACGGAATGTCACAATCGCGTTCGCGTTACAAGATCGGCAGTTTCATCCTCGCGACGATCACCGGGATCGTTTAATACGTTTCTCTCCATCGGGATTCCTAAAAGAGATCGACACAATCGAAATATATTTATAATTAATTTTTGCGCGAATAATTTATTTCACATCGAGTTAAAAATATCAATATCACAAACATCAAATCCGATGCATTATGCATCCGAATACATTATGCATATTGACAAGGATAATTACGTGCATACATCGAAAAAAACTCGCTTTTCTTATTTCTTCAGGTATATCTTTGAGATTATTCGCTTCGAGCAAATAACTGAAAATATTTCCACGTTATGACATTAAAAATGTCGATAGAGAAAAGATACCGAAGCGTGTGCCTGATGACTTTTGAAAAAGTTAATTTTGTATTCCTTAAACGAGATATATTTTTTCGTACGGTGTGATATTCTTTCCATTTGAGACTATCATCCTTGAAGTAAAAACAACCTTGAAACCATAACATATGAATGTGTGTCACGCTAAAAATATTCTCGAGTGATAAAATATATTAAAATTATTTAGCTTTTTATAAATTACACCTTTTACATTGCATTTCGCGCATTATTTCCTCGTTCATAAAATTGCACACACGACGCAAATAAACTTATGTATTTTAAGTGGCAGTTGCGTCGCAGAATATTACATTAAAATTATGTTTTTCTAAAATTGATTTACATCTTTTTCTGCAATTATAATAATTGCAATAGATTTATTATTATAACGCAATCATAAAAATAATATTTATAGCACAAAAATATCGTAAAAATAATTAATTGATACGATATAATTAAATTTTATCTAAGAAAATAAAATTTTTATGAAAACATAGTATTCAGTTAAATAAAAAAAGAAGCTATTTTTTTAGTGATTTGATACTAATATTGATTATGTGATAATAATATTTACTTAATAATTAATCGATTTTCTCGCAAGATGTTTAACTAAAACATTCTTACGTTACTCTCATCTTATCTGAACCTGGATATGTAAAGGAGGAAGCAACGCGCTATTCGCTCGTGATGTCATTAAACCTTGTGGGGAGAGGGGAGGGGGAGAGAGAGTAGGAGGAATCTATCGAACAAGTTTGACCCATACCAGTCGCCAATGAAGTATTATATCCGTTTTACGGAGAACTCCGTAATATTGATTATGTGATAATAATATTTACTTAATAATTAATCGATTTTCTCGCAAGATGTTTAACTAAAACATTCTTACGTTACTCTCATCTTATCTGAACCTGGATATGTAAAGGAGGAAGCAACGCGCTATTCGCTCGTGATGTCATTAAACCTTGTGGGGAGAGGGGAGGGGGAGAGAGTAGGAGGAATCTATCGAACAAGTTTGACTCATACCAGTCGCCAATGAAGTATTATATCCGTTTTACGGAGAACTCCGTGTCATGATGAAAACCCGTCGAACCGTCGTTCCGGATATACGTTCAATCGATACTCGAAGACGCCAGAAATCAAAATAATCATGCAGAAGTGAGATAAGTATATGTCTGTATCCTTCGATACAGCCTCTTTCATTCGAGGAAAATTCTATTGCAAGAAAATATTTGAAAAAGGTTGCAATATATACGATTTACTTTTGTAATATCAAGTTTCTTCTTTCTAATCATGTTTTTCATTAATTTATAAAAAATATAAAATATATATTTTTTCAAAGAAACATTGCTATTTTTTTATACAAATATCTCAATTAATTAAATATATTAAATATATACTGTAACTTGCGTGTAATATAAAAATGAGAATTATATCATCCACAAAGACGTAACATTATCTCTGTTAAAATCAGCTAATTTAGTATTGTAATGAGTAAGGATAATCACGTAATTGATGCGATGCGTGTTCTCAAGATTTTAGATTGAAACACACACGTATCTCATTGTCAGACACGATTACGTCACAAGATTTTCAAATTTTATCAAATAAAAGTAATATTTAATTTAATTATATAGCATAATTTAATTATACTGTCGCTTTATTTATATTTACTAAATGTAATTTTATATATTATTTAATAAATGATACCAAATTTTGCATGCTTTTGTCAATGTTTCGATTTTTAGTTTTCGAAAAACAATAAAGAAAACTTTACACCGTTTTTTTCAGCACTAAATATGACTGCCTGATCAACTAGTTTTCATTGACGTGTTATCAGGAAAGCTAGCACATACATGCGCAAGAGAGCTAGTATATCAACGAAACCCACAATTACGCATCCAGCGCTGAATATGAAACATAAATATTTTTTTACTACACTTGCAGACTAAGATTTCACATACGTGTCAAATTCGAGCTGTTATACGTGCTCACGAATCACGTACGTGATAATGAGCATGCCGAAAATACTATCGATAAACATGAAAAGTCGGAAATGCACACTTGAAATACCATTCTCCCTATCCTCTCTTTCCTCTTCTCATCAAACTTTAATTTCAAAGATTAAATCTGTTATATAAAAGACATTTCATGATTATTTCCTCATTTTAATCAAGAGACACGCATTACTAAATTCTATTTGAAAATTAAAAAACTCTACAAATTAATATCCATATTTTTTTCAAGGATAAAAATACTGACATAAAAACAGTCGTTCATTTTGGCAAAAAATTTGAAATACTACATTAAATTTTAAAAAATATTAATTTCATCACGCCGATTGTGGCACTTTGACATTTCCATTCATCTTACAAAACGAACATTTCGGTTTCTATGGCTAGAAAGGCAACCGTATCTATAATGGTTTAAAAATAAAAATGAGAGAAAGAGAGATAGAGAGAGAAAGAGAAAAAGAATGAACCCGCGTTGCGGAAAGATGCCTTCTCTGCCACGGATAAATAATCAAGATCCGATCTTTCATCCGTGTAATTGCATTCCGCGCGTTAATAAGAAACTCGCATAGAATGAGAAGATCCTATTCGAAGTTCCATGCGTCTTCGCTCAATCAAGCAAGAAGCAGGCCGACGAAAGCGCGTATCTCATTATCGATAGGAATAATCATAATCACCGTGCGATTTAACAGCCTCCGAGTAAAAAAACACACAGCATCTTCCTCGTCGGATAGCTTAAATAAAACGTCCGCGAGACGTATACGCCCGCGTAAAAATATTCGCCGCAAATTTCAAGCCTCCTCCGCCACTTCCGCTTACATTCGCGTATATCGCAGGAAAGAAACGAGTGATAATCTCGACTCGGCGTTCTCGAAGACGCGAAACGCGCGAGCAAAATCGATTTACGGAAGTCAAGGACTGCAGTTCTCAGCGGGCCGCGTATCTCTCGCCGCGAACGACGAGCAACGAGAGCGCGCGCGAGGAAAAGAAAGAAGAAGAAAAAAAAAAAAAAAGCAACCGTATCTATAATGGTTTAAAAATAAAAATGAGAGAAAGAGAGATAGAGAGAGAAAGAGAAAAAGAATGAACCCGCGTTGCGGAAAGATGCCTTCTCTGCCACGGATAAATAATCAAGATCCGATCTTTCATCCGTGTAATTGCATTCCGCGCGTTAATAAGAAACTCGCATAGAATGAGAAGATCCTATTCGAAGTTCCATGCGTCTTCGCTCAATCAAGCAAGAAGCAGGCCGACGAAAGCGCGTATCTCATTATCGATAGGAATAATCATAATCGAAAAGCACCGTGAGATTTAACAGCCTCCGAGTAAAAAAACACACAGCATCTTCCTCGTCGGATAGCTTAAATAAAACGTCCGCGAGACGTATACGCCCGCGTAAAAATATTCGCCGCAAATTTCAAGCCTCCTCCGCCACTTCCGCTTACATTCGCGTATATCGCAGGAAAGAAACGAGTGATAATCTCGACTCGGCGTTCTCGAAGACGCGAAACGCGCGAGCAAAATCGATTTACGGAAGTCAAGGACTGCAGTTCTCAGCGGGCCGCGTATCTCTCGCCGCGAACGACGAGCAACGAGAGCGCGAAAAAAAAAAAAAAAAAAAAAAAAAAAAAAAAAAAAAAAAAAAAAAATGTTTACTCACTTCCTCGCGGTGGCGGCGGCGGCGACGGCCGCAGGCTCCTCGCCCAGCTCCGCGCGCTGTCGATGAATCGAGATCGCTCCCGGAACAAAAGTCCGATACGTCGCACAGCCCGTTCGGCTCGTATGCACGTACGAGTGAAAACGCCGGTGCACTTCCGTCCCTTGATATTCGTGCCGAGGAGATGCAGCTCCTATTCGCGGGGGGAACGACGACGTCGACGGGCAGACAGGCGGGTGATCGGTCGGTCGATGATCGGTCTCGAAGGCTGGGTGGACAGGCACTCGCCTACAAGCGATCCGGCGATCGATTGTAATGGATATACGTACGTGTATGTGTGTAAATAATTTTTTTTTTTTTTTTTTTCGTATAATACGTGTACGCGCGGGAAAGTGCGTGCGTGCGTGAGTACGTGCGTGCGATAAGTCAACGGCGACAATCGGCGATCGGACACGGTGGATTTACATACTGTGACGTATCGTGACGTGTTTATGCATATATGTATCTCTCAGCGTCGATCCTGCATGTCTCTCTCCGCGGGCAGCAACCGCCAAGTGTCACTGGCACGTACGCGATCGAAACAATAATGTTGACACGCACGACGTATGATACAACATCCGCACCGCTCGGTGGTCCCGACACGACTAACGTAACGCTAATGACCATCAGTATCAGTACCTCACTTCACTACACTACCACTACCGCCGCGCGCGCGCGCAACGCGAGATGCGCGCCGCGAATTTATCTGTCGGTTACTGAGCGCACGATACGTTCCGCCGGTCAATTTTGATTCGCAATCGTGATGACTGATAAATCACGGATATGTCAGCGGAATAATCGCTCGCGTATGTTATATAAGTGAAAATCAGTTTCGAGATGCCTGATGTAAACATTGGAAATAAACAGCGTATAAAACATATATTTACTTGAATAAAAATATGCCAAATATGAAAAACGAACGATTATTTAAAAAAAATTTTCCTTATGAATATATAAGAATAATAATTATATAAAAGAAGGGATTGTGTGTACACATGAATTGCGCATTTCTAAACTTGAATAGTATATGAATGACAAATACAATTGATAGAAACATCACACGTAAATGAATACTCGTCGATAATATAGAGATCTTTAGAATAGAGATTATATACAATAAGGATAAATACGCATATATATAGGGATATGTTTCACAATCATTGTACAATACTTTACCATATAAATTATTTTAAGTCGTATCGTAATTAATTCCGTGAATAAATATATCGTATCTGGAAATTAATTAAAATTAAAAATACAAAAATATCAAAATGATTTTACCATAATTCCTAAATTAAAGAAGATTGGTCTATAATAACAGTGAAATATGTACACATGTATAAATACACAAAAATTATAAAAGAAAAATTATTATAAACATATCAAATGTAATATAATCAATGTAACATGTACATGTGTGGATTCTTAAATAACACTCGGACAATATTGGTTCTTTTCATTTTATTGTACCAAAAAATTGCATCTTGTTCAATCATCGTTAATTCAATATAATATATTTATATATATATTTATATTTGTTATATCTTATTTATATATAATAAATATTTGTAATAGCGTAATGTTCATTGTTTGTCATTGTTTTATTGTGTTCATGAACCATGAAAACGTGGATTTTCAGCGAGTTCGTAATCATCGTCATGTGTTAACACTAGAAAGACGTTCTGTGTGATTGGTCAGATTTGGGAAATCTGTCTGTTAAAACGATCTGTCTGTTACACGCCAGATCGTCGAATTGTTTTTGTCTCATCCTTGTCTTTTTTTTTTTCGGAAAGGCCGGATTATTCGAGATAGATTCTATTCTCTCGGCATACTCGTCGTCGCCACATTTTTGTTTCTAACAGTACCAGCATCTTACATAGACGATTCATACATCGAAACAATAGGTACCTAAGAAAATTTTACATCTAGCTTTGAGGCGCCCGTTCCCTTAAATTTGTCCTTTAGAATTATTTCACTGGATCTGTATGAAGCTTAATAATCCAAAAAATGAATCATTTTTTTTTTCTAGTTTCGACAAAAAGATAAACCTATGCTTGGTATTATTGCATCACAATGGAAATTTGCATGTTTATTAATATTTATATAAGACTTCTTTTTCAAAAATAATGCTTTCTTAATCCCACTAATTAAAGAATATATTTCATGTTAAATATAGAATTCAAATTTTTATTAAATGTTGGGTAAAATTAATTTTTAAAATATCTACTTTATTTGTACCATATTTTTGGACCGTGTATTGTTTAAATATTTTATTTTTGTAATCTTCCACATGTATGTCTTGTGAAACTTTAGTAAAAATACATTATGTATTTCTGTTTAAATTATTCCAATTTGTTAGAAATGCAAATTTAAACTTCATTGTTTCACAAAACTTTTGAGCATACTGCGACGAAAATGCTAAGTATTATGGAACAAAACGTCTATTAAACGGTTTTATTTTATACATTGCTTTACAAAATGCTAATATAACCATTTCTGAAATCTCGCTTTCTTCGATTCATTACGACCAATTCAAGGGTAGCGGGTCCTTCACGAGCCGAAGCAGCGCTAATTACCATATATATACCGTAAGAAAATATATGTACCTCTACAGACACCAATAATTCGATCTTCACGATTGTACATGGAACATAGAAACGGTTCCCGAACAAATCCTTCGAACAAGTGTTCCAAACTCCATCGTCATCGTCATCATCACTACGTTAGTTTATAAAGCTTTACTTTGCCAATGATAATTAACGGATATCTCGTCGATTCCCCGTAAACCCTGCAGTACAACAGTCTTTGTGCCAATTTTTTTTTTTTCCTCGAGAGCTTTTAACAGCTAATAACTCGAACACATAACGAGATATACTTTTTTATTCTTTTTTTTTTCTCGATTCGGCAAAAATTTTCTTTAGCAGCTCTCCGGTCACGCTCTTCACGATATCGTCGTCAATAGCTATGGCAGTGACTAGGAACCACTGGGGAAAATGTAACGTTACTGCAGAGTTAATGACGATCGTCGTCACTACTACGAATTAGTACAACTCCTTAACTTTTTATTACGTCGCTACATATGATACGTTTGAAAAGGATTTGTGTGCTACCAGCGATATCGAGATCTATATCAAAAGAATCCGTCTCACTGTAAGCGATTGATTAGAGGATCGCGAACATTGTTGAAATCCTTCAATCTTCTAAATTCTTTGCAGCGCGCACCAAACGACGTTCTTACACAAAATTGTACAATAATTGTAATAAAATATATCTGATCTAAATACCAAATATGTGTAATATTTTATACCATAATTTTATCAAATAAATTTAATTTTATAATGATATAGCAAATTTCGTTTTCATTATTTAATTCGGTTTATGTTTCGTTAGCCAATGTATCACTTTAATAATGTTCTTATATATCTGCGTGTAATATAATTTTCATGAACACACTTGATTATAATTCTTATTATATTCCTGTTTCCCTAATTAGACAAAAAATACACGTTGCAGTGCGGACCGCCAAGAAAGTATCCCGTCCTGTAATTATGCTTCCGCCTCATCAGTTTGTCATCACCATATAGTTGAAATATTAAGTTCTTATCATTTCCAGATATATAAGCGAGCGTAAACTTTTTGTTCTTTTTGTCCTCCCATCCGCGATTTTGCCTCTTCGCAGCGAAATAATTTTCCCTCTTAATGCAAGTGTAAAATTCATCGCGATTATTTATTTCTCTTAAACGTCGTAAAAAATGTTGTCTCGATAGTGGTCTCGCTTATTTATGTGGAAACTGTTTAGGTATATTTTCGCACAATCGATGAGTAATGTAAAACTGTAACAACTCACGTGAAAATCGTCCCCATTGCATCGCGAACGCCGATATTGCTCAAAGCAATAGCATATTACCAAAGCCATAATATTCAACACTTAAAAAAATTCGACGGAAATAACAAAATATTATACGAGATTATAGTTGCTTCAGATTCATAATACCAGATACGAAAAAATAATCAAACATGATATTGAAATGCATTTAAATTGCTAAACCAATTGTTTTTCCTTTTTACTCGTATTTTCCATGCTGCTCGATTATCTCGCTATCGATTCATGACAATGTCGGCGTCCACTGTCTAATTTGCAAATACGTACGGCTAGATCATTCTCTTATCGCTGAATCTAACTCGGGAGATTAGAGAATTGGATTTGTGCAGTCCCATTTTTGGCTGAATAGAATAGAGAGAAATGAATCGCAATTATGGTCGCGAACAGTAAATAATTTGCCAAGTGATAAATATATTCCGCGAGAGAGTATAACTGCATCGTGTCGTTGTCGGACGACTAGTTTCGATCGTATACGATCGGTTTAATATAACGATTGTATCATCTTTATTACAACTTTAATCAACCATTATTGCAAACGCGTCTGACGCTCGTGCTATCGTAGGCACGCTTGATAACATTGATGAGATATATAATTACGAGATATAAGTAGCAAAAATATTGCTGTTTCCTTGTCCACCGATGAAAAATATCTAAAGCGGAGAGGAACATTTCCTCTCAATCATCGAATTCAGCATAAATATTTTGCAAAGCAAACAAGAAACGTCAAATCAAGAAACGTGTTCCGCCGGTGGAACACGAGTATAACGGTCGTTCATTTATCCTTTTTTTATTCACGACGTAATGGAGTCTTGAACGAATACTTGATATTTAGTCATGTTAAAAGGAGTTTCTTTGATAAGCGCTCTATCGATCTCTATCCCCCTACATTATTTCAAAATTTAAAAAAGAACGTTACACTGAATTAAATATCGTACAGTGGAAAACCCGACTATTCTATCTCCGACATCGAATATATTTTTTCCTTCCTTTTTTTTTATATTGAAGTTGCAACTCCAAATATAATCCTCACAAAAATCGTTGACAATATAGGCTATATCATAGCGCAAAATTTTTTGATAATTCTAATATTTAACGTCTTTCACACTGTATATATATGTATATTTGTCAGATGTTTAAACTGAATCGAGCAAAATAAATTCCTCGCCCTTCGATTACGAATTATTGACATAACTTTGGCAAATACGTGGCATCGCTCGTCGCCGGCTGCTCTCTATATCGGAAAATTGTCATCCGTAAATATATTTACACATTTTCGCGAATAAGATTTACATCATGTGCAATACTAAAAACACATATGCAAAGAGCCAATCGATCACAATAATCATAGTTTCAAATTCTCTCGTTTCAATTTTCTAGAGCTTAATTTATTATCACTATAAATTATGTTTCCTGTTATGTATGTAACGACCCCTTTGCATCCTTTAAATGTACAATTATTCATGTATTCAAAAAACATTGGACATATCCTACAGAGTTAAAAGATCGATATAAGCTATGAAAAGGTTGTTTATGATTATAAAAATAATTGATATGTATAATTACACAAAGGAAAAATTAAATGGCGATGAAATTAGATGAGATAAAGAATATGCAATTATATCGTTATATTATATCATTATAATATATGTATAAAAATATGCCGTTATTAATGTTACAACAAAATTTGAACACAATAGAGGCAATATGGATCTTTTCATTAAAACGAAATATTAGTAACTATTAATCTAAGCATTAACTTGATAATCTAATATCGGTTTACATACACAGTAAAAAATTCTTTATCTTTGTCATAATAATGAGCGAAGCAAAAATAGAAAGAATACCAATAGTTGTGAAATGAAACGCGACAAGTTATCAGAGTTGACACAAGGGAAAACAAACAACACTTGAAAAAAAAATAAAAAATGATTATTAAAACTATTCTATCGCTTAATTAAACAATTCGTTAGTAAAATCATATACATAACGACGAGTTATGCGAATATAATCGATAATTATATGTATAATATATATATTTATGCGTATAACTAGTCAATAATTCTATATGTTACATGTACAATTAGCAACGATGTGAGATCTGAGAGCACGACTTCAAACTCAATCGAATATGTAAAACGTACATTCTATGATGATTTTTAGTTCTCGATCGACGAAATATAAAAGTAATATTGTCGACGAAATCGGTCATATTAGCGAAATGCGCGCGTTATAAAGCTATTATGCTAACTTATAAAAATAAAGTAGAAGAGACACGTTTTTGTGTGCGAAGAAATACAGTATGAATAAAAAAATAGCAGAGTTCTTTTTTTCTCTAACAATAAGTACGACTGATAATTCATCTTGTTAAGTATTCATTCTGAACATAATAAAAAGCTGTACATTTCTGTCATATATTCAAGTGATGTATATATTTTGTTGATTGCACACCGAGTCTCAAAAGACATTAAAATATTAGTGAAGCCAATAGACGAATAGTATAATGTATAATATAGAAGTATAAAATGAAAAGCAATTGAGAAATTTTTAAAGAAGGTATCGCACTATACATAATTGCACGGATTAAAAGAAGACGTTAAACAGCGAAAATGACTAATAAATTATATAAAAACTGTATCTGATTTCAATTAATTTCTATAGTAATTATTTTGAACTAATGAATATAATTGCAGTATATTTTGCAAATATAGAGCAAATTCGTTAGGAACCCGGCCGCGTGTATGTGTTAATGAAAAAATATATCTCAAATAATCGTAATGACGCTAAAGATAAATATATATTTTTTTTTACGTAAATTATATTATAAATATTATTCTTCTCGTCATGGAAAACAGAAAACGTAACGTTCTGTAAGAAGAAACATGAACGCAACTGTTGCATAATACATTAAAGATCTGAATATAAACTTTATCGGCACAATGAACAAAGCTGTGACTGCAAGCTTTTTATGTACTGAAATTGCAAATATACGCAATATTGACTAAAAAACTGTAATTTTTATTTTACTATATACATTTTAATTTAATTGCTGTAATTACTGCATTTATGATCTATATGCTGGCGCAAACAATGTAATTATTGTGAAATATGAATTATTAGATAGAAATTCGATAAAGAGAAAGAGAGAGAGAGAGAGGAAAAGCGACTAAAAAGTGTGTCATTTAACCAAAATTCTGAAAATCGGCAATCATTTTATCAATAAAATGTTTTTCACGCTTCCTTACATTTTTCTCTTTTTTGTTCAATTATGTTTTACATTTCACATTTTATGTTTTATGTTTCACAGTTCACATTTCAATTATTATCAAATTATTGTGTGTATGAAGCTAAAAATTGCTTTCAACACATTTATCTCTAATTTCGAAAGTAAACATCTTATAAACACATTATATTAGTTGCAATGCTCTTAAAATAATCAATTTTTTTTCACAGTTTCGTTAATGCGTTAAATGCTCGTCGTATGCACTCATATATTCCAATGCAATTTTTTTTCACAGGAGACCCATATAATAAGGCACGCTTTTCTGCCTGAGAAGGCACTGAAATATAATGTCTATACTTACGTATAGTTGTAATCGCATTGCATACACGTAAATCATGCAAAGGAGGGAGATCAATTTGAAACGAGATACTATTGATCGAAGATTATTGTGCATCAAAGTTTGTACAATTTTATATTCTCGTGTTTTTTTACAATTTTCCTATACTGCCAGACACAATTCTTTACTCTACTTGGTTCTTTTTGAAAATTCAAAAATTCGCTGATATATCGTCAATCATAAAAAATAAATTTTGTTTTTTCCTCACGTGTTTTCCATCTCTCGTACATAGTTGTTTTCCTTACCTCAGCGATGCTACAACCATAAATTTTTTGTTTCCCAAACAAAAATTCCCTGAGATCTTTGATTTCATTTCCTTTAGTTCTAATGTTCGACGTAAAACGTAAACTGCATAGCAGATGGAAATAATGACAATTAAATAGATATTTTCTTTTTTTTTTTTTTTCTTTAACGCAAGGATGTTTCCAGTTCCGAAAGCAAAGTATTCTTTAGAACATTATAACAAATCAATTTAATTTAATATATACGTCCTTCTATTAATAACATTAATCTATATAATGAAATCTATAATATAATTCAAATAACAATGAGATTAAAATAATACAAATTGACTTAAAATTTTTCGCGAGCGATCGTTGAGTCGCGTCCGATCCGCACCCATCGGGATCGACTACAATCTACTACAATTCACTTCCAAAAAATGGACACATCGATGAAGATGGTCCTGCAGATTCGTTTGTTTGCATCTCTTCTGCATTTTGCCCGCCCGATGCGCACAGTTCGAGACAGGACGCCGAGGATGCTTGAAACGTATTCAGAGTCTCGTTTGCACTCATTCTCCCGGGATAATTCCACGATCGCGCAGTCTTGAACGGCGGCTGCATTATCCTGACATCGTTCGTGTCACAGTCGTGCGGCCGTTTGTGTGGCAGATTCGATCTTTTCCCCGCCGACGACGACGATGACGACGACGACGTAGCGATCGGTCGCTGATGCGAAGCCCTACGAGGGAAACGTTTGGGAATGGTGATGGCAGGATAAAGGAAGACGGTGCTAGTACCCATACTCCATCGCATTTTATGTGTCTCACTGGTTGCTTAAACAAAAGACCTGCCTTAACGGAGAACCGTAAAATTGACATACGCACCAATATTTTTTTTTTCTTTTTTTTTATCTATCAATTGCGAGGAAAAAGAAAAATGTTGCAAAGATAATTTATTTTTTTCTTCTTTAAGCAATCTTTAACGTATTTCTCAAGCTTAAAAAATGCGAAGAATAAATAATGATCAATAGTAATTTTTTTGCGAAAATATACTTTTTTCTTTTTAAATGGATGCTAATGCAGTCTAAGATAGAAGCAAAGGAGTCGTTAGCCGTGAAGAAGATGCGATCGCTATATAATCAAATCGATCATCTTGTTATTAAAATTTTTCGTGGCGCATTTCTCCGGTGCTTCTTTATTTAATCTCTCTCTCTCGATAACGTGTTTTCAAATATCACAACGATGAGCACAGCTGCGGCACTCGGAAGAAGAAACGAGAAATGAACAAGGGCGAGAGAATCTCAAAAACGAGGGAGACGTAATCGGACAAATGTATCCTGTGTCATTCTTGGTCGATAATGTTAGTGTATCGGTCGTTTTTCAATCACACAGAAATACATCGTAGATACAAATACAGTAGATGACGCATCGTCCGATCGATGCCAGAGTTGTCGAGGTATTGTATATGAGCAATTTCGAGAATCGACATTGCGGATCTCAACCGGCAGCAGATAACCCGTACATCCGAGCAACGGGTTCTCTCTCTTTTCTCTCTTTTTCATTTCCTTACTTTCTCTATCTCTCGCACTCGGAGAAAGAGAGAATTGATTCTGTGTTGCAAAAACTAAAAATTTCGTTTATGCTAACAGATTACGCGTTATCTGATAGACGCGTTATCGTTATCATGATCGTGGCAATCAAACGCAATAAACAATTGACGGAACCAACTCAAGAGAATTCGGACGATTGTAAAAGACATCGGCCATCGTGATCGAAAACACTCTTCGATGCGCTCGGTAAGAAGAGCGCGTAGTACACAACCCCGTATGCGATTCTCCGTTTTTACCTCGTTCGCTTCTGTTGCTTTCACTCTCGTAGAGAGTTGGGAATCCCCCCCGCCCCCCGTCTCGTTTGTTGAGGAACGCGAGCCGGCTACGTACGAGCGACGGACGACGAGAGCAACGACAAGTAATAAGGGCTCGTCGCCGTCACCATAAGTGAGGCTCGGAGTCTCGGGTGTAAGCATCTATTTGGTAGTAGGACGACCGATCGGAGATCTTACAGGGAATCGAGATGATTAAGGATATGGGTACGGATGGTAATATATTTGGTTACAACTCCATGTCCTGCGCCTCGTCCTCGCTGAAGTCGCTCATCGAGGACTCGCTATCGGAGGACATCCCATTACCGGTGCCGCCGTTCTCCTGGTCCCTCAGCGCCTCCTCCGTCGCGTACTTCCTGACGTAATCTGTCGAGATAGAAATCAAAAGAACGGGAAATTGCAATGCGAACGAGATATCGATGTTTTAAAAGCATGCGCATACGCGATACGGAAACGAGAGGAAGTTTTATTCTGAGAAAAAGACGCAAACTCTGATCAGCAGCGATCGTTAAAGTCTTATAATGATCCACAATTTTATTCTACCGCGTTTTATTAGGAAGAAAGATATTAAACCGGTAGTATACTCACCCGCTACCTTCTTCTTGTACTCTTCTGGTTTATGAAGATACATCGCGGCAGCGTCACCGTTCAGGGGATCAATTGGATTGGGATATGTTAACAACTGAGGCAGAAAAGATTCAAAAATATTCGACAGGTCTGAAACAATGAGAAAGCACGCTGTTAGTATAATCCTTCATCTTTTTGTATAAACTTTTTTTCATTCGATAAAAACAAATCATTTTTAACTTCTGTTGCCAAGCTCGATTTATAAATAAGAAAGAAATATATATCGCTGAATACATAGAGAAACAATGTGATTCTCTCTCAAAGTAACGTCTGGATTAAATTATTTCTTATGAAACAGTTAAGTAGACGGCCAAGCAAAAATTGCGCGGCAACTTTGCGCTATTTAAGCATTTCGTCGAGCGTAATTTTACGTACCGTAAAGGGCAGTCCAAGCCTGATTGATAACATCTAGACACACCGTGCCTGAGACTTCATCAATGTTGGGATGGTAGACCTTGTTCATGAAACCAATCGAAGGGGATTTGAAAGGATAGTGCTCCGGCAAATGAACCCTTACTTTCCATATTCCACCTTCGTATGGTGCTGAAACATAACAATCGCATAGTATCGTTAATTATTATAATTAATCTCCGTTTCTTTACATTTTAAAAATATATGTTGACGAAGAAAGTATTCGTCATAGCTGATAAAATTCAACGTGTTATATCAAAAATTTATATAATCGCAAAATATATTTTGATTAAAAGAGCACAAGAATTGACAAACAGTATATATAAATATGGATCAGAATTTAATGTTCATAATGCATATATAACTGGTAACGAATAATAAATTCTCATGATAATAAACTAAAATCTGCTTTTTGCGAGCGCATTGCTAATTATTATCGTATTATTATTACTTTGTTTGAATTCGAAAATATAATACATAAAACATGCTATGCATACGCACGTCGAAATTCAGTTCGCACTCGTTAATTGTTTATCCGAATTTCATATGCGAGCTGCCAAACCAAAAATCGCGAAATAATAGTACCGTAGTCTCGGAAAACCGTCATGTTCGTTGGAGAATCGGAGGTTGAATAACCGAAATGTCAATAATTCATCGAAATTCACGAGTTTCATTTTCAAAAAATAAAAAAAAAAAAATCTACTGTAATGGCACGTACAGTTATCGGCGATACACGATTGCAAGACAAGATGATCGTAGCGAGAACGCGCTATCTCATAATTCGCGATAGATCTGCGAAACTGGAACATCCAACGGTAAAGCCATTCTCCGGAATAGTTCTTTCGTTCGGAAAGGAGAAAATAATATCTGCAGCACGAAGAGGGATCGTCCATTGTCACTGAAGAGTCGAAATGCAGCTGTTTTCGGTCAAAAGTTCGCTAAGAGCTTTCTGTCCCGACAAAGTAAAATCGCGAAGCTTCGCACGGAGTTTTATAAAGGAGAGACGGTATTCTCGTAACGCGTGACAAGCGACGAGACTTTTAAAGAACTCTCGCGTACTTCTCCCTTTACGTAAATTAACTTTTATCTGTGTGTAAAAATACTTTCTCGACTAAATGTTTTCCTGAGTTAAATTGCAATTAGAATCATATGAAGACAAAGCATTTAGAATTGAAATTACAAGTATCAGATTACTAGAATTACTTGCGCAACATAATCGCCAATTATTAATCTCTGATTATTATCGTTTCGAATTATATTCTTTGATGCAAGAAAATAAAATAAAATTGGGCTGAGTATATAAAAAGCTATTCATTGCATCTACAATGCATCGTGAAAATAGAACAATAAAGTATAGCACAATTCAACTGACGATATCTCAACTGACTTTTTGATTAGACTTGATGAATTCGATACTCATTATCAGAATTCATAAGAATAATACTCGCACATAAGTCACGCATTGTGAGAAGTCGACCTTAAAAAGAACATGACCAGCATTATTCGACTTTATTACTCGACACAACAAAGAATAGCAAAGTCGAATTATATAAACTTGTCATCGTCAATATGATACAGTTAATAAACAACAACGAATCATTAATGATTGCTAAAACACATCGCATGATAATTGAAGGATAAAATCAATTTTATGAAGCGAATTATAAAAATAAATCGTGCGTGCCAGACATATCAATTAATTAATCGAATAAAAAATATAGAAATTGAGATTCTCTTTGCAGTTTATTCATCGCATCCACAGCTATTTAATTATTTCACAGAAATTGTAACACACATTGATGTATTGCTTCGGCAAACTGCGAGTATTGGAAAACGTAAAATTAAATCGTATCCCAGAGTTTTAATTTCCATTCCAATAAAAAGCCGAATGAAATAAGACAACTTGTACATACAAAATTCCATGGTGGAACTTAAATGACGAAAATTTCAAAATATATTCCTTTGATCTCGTTCATTCCAATTCTCATGTATATCCAATCCTCTTTCCATAATTTATGAATATTTCGTTTAAATTTTAGATAAAAGAATAATTATTCCACGCATACACATTTGAAATTCAAATCAATCTGAAACGTCATTTACAACATGTCTTGATGAACATTACTGGCGTAAAGTACACTTAATTCTCGGTACAATGGCAGATCTACTATTACACGTCTACGCAATCTTCTTTCCGTGTTTTTATCTTTTCGGTCGCATGCGACTTACTTTTGCCTTTGAAACACAAGGGCTTCGCGCGCGTACAAAAGCAGCGTGAGCCGATGCCTCGGAAAACGCGATTCACCTGTGCGGACGCACGTGTGCACGCGTTCACGTTTCCTGTTGCCGGATTCACGGTGAAAGTATCGATACTCACGCATTGGCACTGGCATCCTATCCAAGCATGACGTAAACACGATCATTGTGAATTTAATAAACGGTTTTGAACATCTATACATCATTTCTGTAACATGTATATAATTTGCCTTAACGCTCTTTCGGCGTTAATTTTTAGAAAAAAAATTTTTTTTTTTTGATTAATTAAAATTAGAGCCTCTACTAAAATCGTACGAGATTGTTCTTAAGAAATAGGAGTAGCGTGCAAAAATGTGTATAATATATAAATATAATAATAATATTTGTAATATGTTTAAATAATTCGATGTAAACTTAGTTTTTTGCCTGCAACATTCAACTCGATGTCGTCAAACGTAATCATTACAATCGGCGACACGAATATGCCTGGTCACTTTAATGTTTAATGTAAAAAGTTTCCATACTTTAAATGTCTCTACTCAGAAAACTATTATTCCGGATAGAAAAAGGAGGTAAGAACAGTTTTTTAAACAGTAAATTATGCGAGAAGTCGGCATTTTCTCATAATTTGCAACATTAATAGCGATTAAACCCGTAAAAAGACGAGTTCTATGACCGCTTGAAAAAAGTTTACCACTTGAATGACCGGTTCCGTCATTCCAGCGGTAATTTCCATACACGGTCCCGCACCTTTGACTCCCTCATTTTCTCAATCGGATATTCGTTCGAAAATACAAACAGTATCGATTTTACAACGAAAACGCTCCATTCGTGTATTATTTTTTTATTCGCGTATCGATCAACATTCGTATGACGACCACAACAAATCAAATGAAAGGCTATGTCCACTTTCGTTCGAAATAGTCGGGAGAAAGCGCTGAAAAAGTATTCCAATTGCTTTCTAAACAAAAAATTATATCTTCGAATCATCTTTGTGATGAAAATGATAACGAACAAAAAAAAATGTGAGGAAATTTTTCAAAAATAGATAAAATGACATCTAAAAAATCATTTCTCTCTTTAAATAGAAGACAATGCTAAATAAATAAAAGACTTTAAATAAAAGACTCGCACGAAAATCTTCTAATAAAAAAATGACATCGCGAGAATACTTTTTACGACTCGTGAGCGATGGGAATTTACGAGCAATAAGTAAAAATCAATCAAGCGCGTACGGACGAGCCCAAGTATGGGCGACTGAAATTGAACGGAGCAAACATAAATTTTTGATGGATCTGCATTCTACATTTGTGTATGTTCGCGGTACAATGTGGAGTTCACGTCCCATTGATATGTGCGCTTGCAAACAGTAAGTGAGTTTTATTTCCATCCAGAGACGCATAAAAGTGCTATCCATGTGCGCCTAGCAATAAAAAAAATCGCAAACAAGGCACTCCATTTTCGCTTGTTGTGATGCATATATCGTAACACTGTCTAAATTCAGTACAATGAAAGTTTACATTATTCACAGTGCATGCAACGCAAAAGCTCTGATGTACAGTGCGTTTTCAGCTTTTATCCGCTGAAACAGCATTAATCCATGGTTTTTAATGAGATCAAGCTCGTTATCGCTTTTGCAAGTGTCACGACAATTTAAATTTAACGACAAAAAAATACTAAAGGGGTTTAAAATTTTATTAAATAAAGAAGATAAAACGGGGATGAGATTATCGGTTAAAAAATTCATTTCATCCGGAATAAAGAATCCGATAAAAATAATAGTCACTTTTACGTAATTTTATTGACGCGCGTGTTGTTCTCTCGCGGAAAAATTTTTGTCCGGCCTTCGCTGTTTATAAATACACTAAGTGCTCGCGATTTTTCTCTCGCGACGACTCCTGTGCGTCATCCGTTGGGGTGCATATCGGGAGACATAGCACCCCCTCGCAGATGCGGATGCAGTTCGATACGGAGAAGCTCGCGCTGCAGCCGGCGCTTGGCCCACTGACCTACTTCCTCGCTCTTCCGCAAGTGTGTGCCGCACTTTGTCACGGTAACGCAAAGTCGTGCATGATACAAGAGAACGGTATGCTGCTCTCAGCTTCCACTTTAGGCGTGATCCGAAGCGTGATGGGCGTCGCTTCGCGGTTTCAGTTGAGATACGCGACGACTCCGCATGGCAATTACGTAAATGGTCGGCGATACACGCGCCCTTGAATAACGTAGACTTTTGTTGCGAGCCGGAAAAAAAGGCTCGTGTATATAAAGCTAACAATAAGAGAATTTTTTGACGGATAATACGATTGGATGTATTTGGATAAGTAGAAGAAACGAGCACGCAAAGTCTATAAGCAAAATGCATAAACAGCACTGGGTATCTTATGATACACTGAGTTACACTGAGTTTATTATACGAATTCAATTTATATATTAAAAGAAATTGATGATCAAAAACCAGCAAACTAGATTATCTTTTCACGCCTCAAATTTATGTTCAATTAAGATTAAATGTCACTAATTTAAATCAAATGAAATAGAATTAATCGTATCAAATGTGTTACTTCGATTATTACTATTAGTTTCATATTTGAAAATTATTATATCTTCCATTTATAAAGTAGATTTTCTACGAAAAAAAAAAAAACTACGATAAGAAAAGTTTTAGCAATTTCGCATAAATACGATAAACTTTGTAGTGATTAAGTTAATAAATCGTTTTTAAACGTAAACTCACATACAGGCTCTGGATTTAATCCAATGTTAATTCGTCCAATCAATTCATTTATGATCGATTCTACAAGATTACGAGACCTTATGCACGAATAATTTCCAGTATGACGCAAGCACAGCTTCGGCGTAGAAACTAGGTCGAGTAG